TCGGCTTACAACTCGAAAAAAAAATCCATTATCAGAAAGTGAAGCAAGTAGTATTAGCCCTATTATAGAGGCATTTTTAAAACATGAAGTTGATAGATACCAAAGAAATAAAAAATCTCGATATAATCCTACAATAAAAGTAGAGACAAAGCCTCATTGTATAGCAATACCAGTTTCAAAACTTGAAAAGTTAGGATTCGAAGAAGAGACAAAGTCTCGAATCTCTGATTCTTCCCCTAATAGCTTGCTTCATAGACCCAAAGGGTTATACTCTGAAGAAGAGGTTAATGCTAGAATCAAAGAAGCTAAAGGTAATTTACATCAAGAATTTATTAAATCTACTGAGGAAACCTTAAAAACTATTAAGCAACAAAAGATATAGAATGCAATTAAATTAAGATAGATATGGCTAATTGGAGTACAATATTATTTGAACATACATTAAAAAAAATAATCTGAAATGGTAGTATATATAATCTTATTCATATGTTAAAAGAAAAAGATGGTAAATCATATTCTAATATATCCTGGAAAAAGTGATTTATACATTTTTCCCATATAGAAATATCTTGAAACTTGGCTTCTTTAATATATTGTATTGTATTATTGCAATACAATGTCCTTTCAAAACTAATTTTTTTTTTTTGAGTAAATTAGAAATTTGAAACTTTGCTTTCTCATCTTTATTATAAACAAAAAGTGAAATAGTAATACTTTTTCCATTAGCTGATGCAGTAAACTTACCCTTTACTATAGGCTCTCAGCCTGCTCAATGCTGCCATCTTGTACCAAGAATGAATAGTGATATATCCTTACCATTGCTATCTTTTTCTGTTAGTAAAACAGAAAACTCATCAGAAACTGTTAAAGTATCATTTCCAATATCTATAGTAACAGAAATATCTGAAAAGGTCCCAATAGATTGTTTTTCTCCTACTGCCCCTGTTAGTCTATAAATCTTTTTTCTGTCTATTTTAAGCCCAAAATAATTTATAAAATGGTTTGTAATATTTTCAGAAATATGTGACCCATCTGAACCTGTATCGAGTAATGCATGGAGTATTTCTAAATCATATACTTTATATAAAATAGTGGCATAATTATTGGGTTCTTTTATTTGCAAAAAGTTTATTTTTAATAGGTCAAACTAATTTCAATATAATTGAGCCTCTTGATATTGTTTTATAGCATAATTTAGAGACTGTGCCTTCTCACAATAATTGCTTTAAGTCAAAGATACGCCAGTATCTTTTTCTGAGCATACAATGAAAAATGGTTCTAGAATAAATTGATATTTTTTTGTTATATTTTTTCATGCTTTGTCTACTTCTTTATTTGAATAGTTTTTAGAATGATATGAATAAAATAAGTCTTTCATTTCAGGAAACAATTTAATAAGATCTGTATATATTTTAGTAAGAATTTCTTTAGGGTATTGTGAAATATATCTTGTTAATATGTGTTTAACAAATTCTAAAAATATCTGATTTTTATTAATAGTTTTTTTACTAGTTTTTGGTTTAGTAGAACTAGCTTTGCTATATCCTCCAGTAGCACTCTTCTTTATAAAAACCCTCTTTTTTTTTTATATTAAAACAATTTGTTTCTTGAGGTTCAATCTCACTATTTTCTTCTTGGTCACTTTCTTCTTGGTCACTTTCTTCTTAATCGCTTTCATTATCTTCTGATTGGCTTTGGTCTATATATCCATATTGTAAAATATTATTAACTTTTTAACTTTTTTAGCTTTAGGGCAATTAGTTTTTGTATGACTAGCATTTCCACACATTAAACAGTATCTTGCAACAGTTTTTTCCTAGTTTTTGTAGACTTTTGTGATGCACAATTTTTTTGATTGTATATTAAAATTTGAATAGGCTAATCTGTTATACAATTCTTTTTCAATAAAGTTGTTCAGAACATCAGGATCACAAGATGCATTATCAGGATAATCTAATCTTTGCGCAATAAAATCTAAATAATCTAATGCTTTTTTATATATAGTTAAATTTTCACTAGGTATTGTATTAGACAAAAATATAGGAACTGATGAATTGTTATTGACTCTATTATATGTAAAGGTAGAAGGTTTTTGCTCAAGCCATGTATCTTTAACAGCAGTAAAGAATGCATTTATATCTGCTGGGTTTGTGATTTTAACTCTTGTAAATAATTCATTAGGTAAGTGAGTCCATAATATGGCCAATGCATCCTGGTTATTATTTGGTATTTGTAACAATAAAAGACAAATTCTATCTTCATAGGTTTGGGGGGTATCAGTAGGATTAAATTTTTCTTGAGCTAATCTGGATAAAGAAGCATTGCGAGAACCTATTGTTTCTTCATGATATTTATGTCATAACCAAGCTAAGAATCGTGTTGGGCTATTAATATCTGTACCTGCTAGATATTGGGTGGAACAGGGGTATACTTACTAGACATTTTGGATTTTAAAATTTCAGCTTTTATACTGTCATTAAATCCAACAACTGCTAGTGTACCTCCATATGCAAATACTTGTACTACTTTATTTTAATATTCATCTGGAGGTTCCTGACCTATATATTGGGGAATTTGAGCAATTAATGGGATAATAAAGATATAACATCTTGTAAAGTTGCCATGTTTGCTATATTATTCTGTAGCAAAAAAATTTGTTGATTTAAATTATTAATTAATTGTTCAGAATTTCGTGTTTGAGTTTTCCACTTACCCCACTTGTTAT